TTCAGATTTGCAGATGCACTTACTCCTTCAGACATCTTATGATAACTCTAATTAGCATCCATCTGTAACACTCTGCAATTTCCTGCAATTATATCTTTCAGTTTTAGCAGTTATTAAACTGCCCCTATGAAAATGCACTCTCAGCAGGGACTAGCAATAAAGGTAAGCCTGAGAATAGCAGACCCCAAAAATGCACGGTGACAAGCTTTATTAATTAAAGCACTGGAAATAAGAGTATAAAATTAAGATAAAATTCAGTTCTCTGAGAGAATATGACAGTTCATGTCAGAACATGGACTTTCAAATGAATGCCTTCAAATCTATTCTGTAATTCTTGTCTTCTAACATTCTAACACATCAGTTGGTTCAGTAAATATCACATATGAGCTGAAAACTTTTTGACCTGAATAAATGATTTACAAAAATCAAAGTAGTTTCTGTTATGGTAGTTAAATTCCCTAAAAATAGTCTCCTGGAAATTGCTTGCTAACGCCAAGAACACTAGAAAGGTTTCAGTCTCTTATAGCCGTTATTGAAATTGCTTTATGTGCTACGTGAATGAGCATTAGTGTATATCAACTTTGAATTATTGCAAATCCTAAAACTTTTCTCAAGATCAGAGGGAAAAAAGGTTGCTCAGATTACTTAGATCTATACAATTTGTATTGTGATTGTTTTGGTAGCCCAGATTATAAGAATGGACTGCAATAGTTTGTTTAGCATACAAAAACATTGCTGCCCTCCATCACTGTTGTCAACTTTGTTTGTGGTGGATGGATGTTGACCAACTGCCAGATCCCCACCCAGCCAGTCACTCCCCTGCCTCAAAAGGACAGGGGAAGAAAGTAAAATGGAAAAGATCCTGGGTTGAGATAAGGACAGTGAGATCACTGAACAGTTACTGTGATGGGCAAAACAAACCCAGAGAAATGAATATTGTAGAATCATAAAATCATAGAAGAGTTAGGACTGGAAAGGATCTTAAGATCATCTAGTTCCAACCCCGCCACCAAGGGCAGGGACACCTCATACTAAACCATGTCACCCAAGGTTCTGTCCAAGCTGACCTTGAACACTGCTAGGGATGGAGCATTCACAACTTCCTTGGGCAACCCATTCCAGTGACTCACCACCCTAACAGGAAAGAATTTCTAACCTAAACATCTCCTGCTTAAGTTTAAACCCATTAACCCTTGTCCTATCCCTACAGTACCTAGTGAAGAATCCCTCCCCAGCATCATTATAGCCCCCCTTCAGATACTGGAAGGCTGCTATGAGGTCTCCCCACAGCCTCCTCTTCTCCAGGCTGAACAGCATCAACTTTCTCAGCCTGTCTTCATTCGGGAGGTGCTCCAGTCCCCTGATCATCCTCATGCCCCACCTCTGGACTTGTTCCATCAGTTCCATGTCCTTTTTATGTTGAGGACACCAGAACTGCACACAATACTCCAAAAGAGGTCTCATGAGAGCAGAGTAGAGGGGCAGGATCACCTCCTTCAACCGGCTGATCACACTCCTTTTGATGCAGCCCAGGATACGGCTGGCTTTTGGGGCTGTGAGCGCACACTGCTGGCTCATGTTCAGTTTCTCATCAACCAACACCTCCATGTCCTTCTCCACAGGACTGCTCCGAATCTCTTCTCTGCCCAACCTGTAGTTGTGCCTGGGATTGCCCTGACCCAGGTGTAGGACCTTGCACTTGGCTTGGTTGAACCTCATGAGGCTGGCATCAGCCCATCTCACAAGCATGGCAAGGTCCTTCTAGATGGTATTCCTTCCCTCCATCGGATCTACCGAACCACACAGCTTGGTGTCATTGGCAAACTTGCTGAGGGCACACTCAATCCCACTGTCTGTGTCACCTACAAAGATGTTGAACAAAATTGGTCCCAACACCGATCCCTGAGGGACACCACTTGTTAATGGTGTCCAGCCAGACACTGAGCCATTGACCACAGCTCTTTGCATGCAGCCATCCAGCCAGTTCTTTATCCACCAAGTGGTCCATCCATCAAATTGATGTTGCTCCAATTTAGAGACAAGGATGTCATGTGGGACAGTGTCGAATGGTTTGCACAAGTCCAGGTAGATGACATCAACTGCTCTATCCCTGTAGCCCCATCATAGAAGGCCACCAAATTGGTCAGGCAGGATTTCCTCTTAGTGAAGCCATGCTGGATGTCACCAAGCACCTTGCTCTTTTTCATTTGTCTTATCATGCTTTCCACAGGAAATTCCATTAAGAATAAAATTGGATGTGTCACAAAAAATTCACAATTGGCCTATGCTGACTGAGGAGAGAGGCTAGTACACAAAGTATGGAATTACAGGAGTAATTTTATTCATGTGCATGAGGTGTACCATTCCTACTGGGGCACACTGAATGTAGTTTTAGACACGGTTCTTACACCTTTCAGGCATTCAGGTACAATATGATTTGTCCAGCCACTACTTCACACATATACCTCTGTTTTGTAAAGCAACATCCATCTGCTCCTTTCTTGATCTAGACATCCCTGGAGTCAGCCTTGCTACAGTTAGTTATTGTGCTGCATTTAGCTGGGATAGAGTTCATTTCGTTCATAGTAGCTAGCATGGGGCTATGTTTTGGATTTGTGTTGGAAACTGTTGATTACACGGGGGTGTTTTAATTATTGCTGAGCTTATACAGCGCCAAGGTCTTTTCTGTTTCTCCCACCACCCCACCAGTCAGTAGGCTGCAGGTAAACAAGAAGCTGGGAGGGACACAGTTAGGACAGCTGACCAGACTGATATCCCATACCATATGATGTCATGTTCAGCATATAAAACTGAGGGGGGTGATGACATTGAAACATGATATCAAACATGACGGTTTCTCTTTCCAAATAAACGGTACTTGTAATGGAGCCCTGCTTTCCTGGAGATGGCTGAACACCTGCTTGCCCATGGGAAGTGCTGAATGAGTTCCTTTTTTGCTTTCCTTGTATGAGTGGTTTTTGCTTTCCCTATTAAACTGCCTTCATTTAAACCCATGAGTTTTCTCACTTTTACTTTATGCTTCGTCCTCTCCCCCATCCCAGCAGTGGGGAGTAAGTGTCTGAATGGTGTTTAGTTGCCATCTGGGGTTAAACTATGACACTTATTTATGATGCCAGGTAATGGGAGGGCTTTACAAAGCTGTTGGAGGGGTTATGGTACTGGCATTATCTCTGTAGTCTGGGGGTATCCTTTATTCTTCCAGGTGGGAGTTGTTCTCCTCCTTGCAAGCCAGCTGGGGTCCTGTAGTCCTGTAGTCATGCTTACTTAACCATTGCTATGGAGTATACAATGTAAACTGTATATATATAAAAAGGAAGTTCTTAAAATTTCATAATAATTGGTACAATAATTACAGAATGCGATTTTCTTAACAAAGGGTGAGAAACAAAGACAATGAAGGAAAAAAACCACTTTCCACCTACCTTTCCCTTCTTCCCAGGCTCACCTCCCTCCGCCACTTACAGCTCCTCTACCCCCATCTCCTGAGAAGCACAGAGGGATGGCAATGGGAGATAGTAGTCAGCCCATAGCAGCTCCTCTCTGCTGCTCCTTCTTTATCACGCTTTACCCTGCTCCAGCCTGGGACATATCCACAGGTTACAGGAAACCCTCCGTCCCACCGGGGTCCCTCCCGGTGCCGCAGGGGCATCTCTGCCCCCTCCTGCCCTCCTCCCACTCTGCCTTCGGGGCTCGCAGGGCTGTTTCTCACCCGGTTCCCCTCAGCCTTGGCTGCCGGGCACCGTTTGCCCTTCCTTACCCAGGCTTTCCCCGAGGCGCTCACTCGTGGCTGAGGGGCTCAGCTCTGCCCTGCTGTGGGGCCGTTGGAGCAGGCTGGGACCGGCTGCCTCCGGCCCCGGGGAAGGCCGGGCAACACCACACCACTGATGATGCTGACAGTACATGGGCGCCTGAACCCGGTACAGTACCAAAGCTTCCAAACTTACTTTTCAATGTAATCTATCTGCAGCATCCTCACTAGCAAAACGGTCTGAGCCATTTTTTTGTATCTGTATGCTGAACTGTGTCTATGAAGAGATGGTTGCATCACAGTCAAGTGTTGTTTCCTCTTCCTGCTTATACTTGTGATTTTCCTAATACCATATTCCTGATATTCTTAACATCACTTGCTAAAATAGGCACCAAGGTCTCTAGAAGGTATTTTGGGTTTGTTGTATTCACATGTGCATGTTTTCCTCATATTTGCAATAGAAATTGCATAATGTGAAATATTTTTGCATATTAAGTATTTCCCATTTCACCCTGCTTATCTGGATTTTTCCCACCTTGCATACTGGTAGCTAAGGTTCTGAGCTTGCAGTGCGTTACATCTGTATTTCATTATACATGTGTGAACAGCTTCACTTATTTCAGCAGGACAATTCATCTCTTTAAAGAATATGTGTAAACTTGTACCATTTGAGTCCAAGTATTATATATGTCCCTGCTCACGGCAGGGGGGTTGGAACTAGATGGTCTTAAGGTCCTTTCCAACCCCAACTATTCTATGATTCTATGATTCTACATGGGAAGAAAAAGCATGAAAAGAAAACTAATCCTTTCTTTAAAATTTCCCACAGGCTAATACGTAGTGTTCTTACACAATGCATGCAATGAAATCATAATGACAGTAGTTCCTCAGAAACATAATCTACATGTCTGTTTAAATCTGCACTGCACAGTTGTCATCATTTTGTAATGAACTTGTCCGAAGATTCTTGTATGTAGTCACAAAGTTGAACCACCATACTCTGTTTTATCATGATTGATGCTTTAGAAGAGATGTTTGTAAGTGAGAGTATAAACACTGGAATGTATTAAATTAGTCTGTATGTTCAGTTCTCTCATTTTTTGTGTCAGACAGCAAAGATAGCAGCTACATTCCCTAGAAACATAGTCTGTAACTCTGCAGCCTGAAAATAGGTAATTAAAACTCTACAGAGGCCTCAACTAAGTTTTAAAATAGTCTTATCAACTGCATGGCTATACATTTTGGGTTTGTGTCTTGTATCTTTCCTTATGGATTGCAAACACAATTAATGAACCTAAGAATCGTTTAAAGCATCTCTAGTAAACTAAGTCACTAGAGAGAAATCTCCTTCCGCTGTTATTTACGTTAGTTTTTAAAGATTGAGCATTGATTCATGGACAAACTTCTGTATTTTATTTGTGCACTAATAATGGGTTAGGTTCTGATTTAAGGATAATAGCCATAATTGATCTACCAGAGTTGCAAACGTTTCACATCCAATGCATCAAATGTTTTTAGGAAAAAAAATCCAACTACAAAAAAATCTTGCACCGTGTTTGACTTTTCTTAAACAATCAAATGATAATCAGATAATGTTTAAGCTTTATTAAGTGATTTTCTGTGCAGTAATTTTTCAGTGCTCATCAGCAATAAATTGCTTTACAGGGAAAATACTATTTGGATTGATAGTTTAATCCTTATTTGGTAAGCCAAATTGCTTATTTTACCCTCTTACACTAAGCAATACACTTCAAAATGCAAAACCCTCTATAATTTATTCATTTAAAGGCTTTCTCGACTCTACTCCACATGATTTTCTGTGGAAAATAGCAGAACTTGGGGCATCTGCTTAATGCTGATTTAACTTGCATATAGCTTGTTCCTGAATCTGATTTTTTTTTAAGATCCATTGCATTCTGGTTTTGAAACCATTCTTCTGTATGACACTGTTAACCCCCCCTTTTTTTTTTCCCTGTGAAAAACTGCATAAGGAAGGTAAGATCCTGTTTAAATATCAGCCCATGTTTGAGCCAGTAGTCAGCTCCAAGATGGTCTTTAGGGTCTGAGGACTACAACCTGTTAAAAAAAAAAAATAAAAAATGTATAGACACAGTTGTGATATTCAGCAATTTTTCCACAATCCACTGATTTCGTCCAATTGCTCTTCAGGAACTATGAAACATATGAACTCTGGGAGAGCCATAGCAAAGTGAAACGATGGACTTCTGTATACTAGTCCTGAGGCCTTGAGATATATTCCTTGAAGAAAGAATTGAGAAGCGATGAGCTTAAGAGATAACGCCTTATCTACAACACTGTCTAGATGTTGCAAAAGACATGGAGCCAAAACATGGGTATTCCTGAAGGAGAAAAATGGTGAGAAGAGATCCTATGAAGAGAAGGGGAAAGCAAACAAAGAAAAATAAATCCTCCAAAGCCCTTACTTTAAGTGCAAAGTTTTAAATACAAACACCCAAAGACTTAAGAAAATTATATTCCAATTACTTGTTGCCGGTTGGCTATTAAAAATTATACAAACACTTAAAGATTATATAAACAATTATTTAACTGTAATAGCCAGTCAGATGTAGAGATGCAATTACTTGCAGTGGAATTGTAATACTGGTTCATAAAGACATTTTTGAGATGAGGGTTTTTTATTTTCATCCTGGAGTTCATCTCATTATTAAATGTTATTTTCTAAGGAAAGTAACTCAAGAATGATTTTATAAGGAAAGTTAACCTTTTCATTTCTGGAGATGTAACAATGTAAGAATGTGAAAATATATATCTACTTCAATAGTATATGCAAGTATAGCAATTTACCTGAATGAATATCTAGCTATCCTGTCTCATGAGAAAAATGCTGACCTTTGTCTTACTGTGTATTTCATGTAAAAAAGTAAATATTGACCTTTTGTGTTAACAACCATCTTTAAGTCAGTAGAATGCTCCACAGAAGATTATATCACTTTCATCAGCCAGCTAAATTAGCAGTACAGAATCTTGGATGAACATCTGTATCACCAGTTGCAAATACCTGATATTGCATAATATATATCTGTACTTACAAAAGTCTGTATTTAAAATAACAGCCCACTGTTTGAGAAGTGTATTTAAGTGCCAAAATGGCTGTCTGCTGCTGTTTGTAATAAAAACACTGTTTTCTGAAAATTAGTATTTTTAAGGGCGTATGTGCCACAGAATTCTATTTTCCTAACTTCTGAGTTGTTTCCAAGTGCTGTTTCAAGTGAAACTCTGTGGTTTAGGTAGAAAGTATTTTAAAATCACAGGAGAGTTCTGCCATCATAATTTGTAATTGCTGAATATAAACAAGCAAAACAATCAACCAACAAACCTGAGAAATGGTTGCCATAACCTGAACTGTAGACAAGATAAACGATAGGTGTCCATATTGAATTGCTGAGGTGAGTAGCTTGAGAGAGGACGCCTTCAACACCAGACCGGGGGGGAGATCACCATCCAGGAGCCTCTATTCAGAGCGACAAGAGCCACCGAGGGAGCCTCAAGTCCTCGACAGAACCTTCCCAGGAGCCCGCAGCTCAGCTGACGAGAGCGAGCAGCTGACTCACAGGGGGCGCAGCCTGAAGCAGCGGCACCAGCCCTGACTGGGTAAAAACCTGCCCCAGGGAGCGCATGCGACCAGGAGTGCGGCAAGGCAGTTTGTGCGGGCAGGCGAGCGGGATGGTGAGCACTCGCCGTATGATCAGGGCGCGGTCCGGCATCTCTGCTCTGGCTGCCCCGGTGTTGGCCAGCGTAGGCACCTAGACAGAGCCGATGAGAGGGGAGGCTGCAGTGCAGAGCTTGGGGTGTAGAGAGTGCCTGCACTGGTCTGGTGAGGGAATGGTGCACAATGGGCAGGGCTGCACTCGGTGCTCCCTGGTGGAGGTCCTCCTGCAGCAGGTGGCTGAGCTGCGGGATGCTGTTAATAGACTGCGAGATGTCAGGGAAGCTGAGAGGAAGCAGGAATGCTTGCTCCCGGCCAAAACTGTGCAGGGGCCTCAAGCTTCACCTCTACCTCATGAAGGAAAGAAGGAGGCCATTAACCTGGGAAGCTGGGAATTAGTGACAAAAAAAAAAAAAAAGAAGGAAAAGCACAACCAAAAACAAGGGGCTTCCCCCTAAATCTGTTGTCCCCAAGCAGAACCACTTTGCTGTCCTGCAGGGGGCTAATGAGGAAACGCACTCGAGCCAGAAACAGCCGGCTGATGCACTGGTAAAGAAGATCTCTACTGGTGCTGCTAGGAAAAAGCAGTGGGTCACAGTACTAGGGGACTCTACACTGAAAGGGACAGAAGCACTGGTCTGCCGGCCTGACCCCGTCTCAAGGGAGGTGTGTTGCCTACCGGGGGCACGGATCAGGGATGTGGCAGAGAGGCTGCCTGCTCTAGTAAGTCCCACGGACTATTACCCACTCCTGGTAATACATGTGGGTGCTAGGGATATAGATAGTAATAGCCTGGGGAACATAAAGAAGGACTACAGAGCCCTGGGGGAGGTGGTTAGGGGCTCTGGAGCTCAGATAGTCTTTTTGTCAATTCTCCAGGGTACAGGGGAGGACCTAAAAAAAGCTAGGAGGATTGGCCAGGTTAATAACAGGTTAAAAGGGTCATGTCATAGTCAGGGGTTTGGGTGTCTTCAACATGGGACCCAAGTTTGTAGGCCAGGTCTACTGGGGCTGGTGGAGCTGGTCTAGCAGTTTTGGTAGGAGGCTTGCCAGACTGGTCAAGGAGGCTTTAAACTAGATGTGTTGGGGGAGGGGGGCATCATTCCATCCCAACACACCCAGTCAGTTGCCAGAACTTACAATAAATGCTTGGAGCAATGTAGAGATAACCCAGCTGCTCCAGTCAATAAGCCAGCTTCATTTGGAACTTGGCTCAGATGCCCGTAGCATGGGGAAGAAACAAGAGGAATTAGAGATGTGTGCACGTCTACAGGGGTATGATATAATAGGCATCACAGAAACATGGTGGGATAGCTGCTATGACTGGAGTGTTAGAATGAAAGGTTACAGGCTTTTTAGAAAAGACAGGCCTGGCAGGCGGGGAGGGGGAGTTGCCCTTTATGTTAGGGATAGGCTGGAGAGTATGGAACTCTATCTGGGGACAGGTGAGCAGTCAACAGAGAGTTTGTGGGTCAGGGTTAAAGGGAATATAGCTATGGGAGATATTACTGTGGGGATCTGTTACAGACCACCTGATCAAGGAGAACCTGCGGATGAAGCACTCCATAGACAGATAGGAAAAGCCTCACGCTCGCAGGCCCTTGTTCTCATGGGTGACTTCAACCACCCTGACATCTGTTGGAAGGACGGTACGGCCCGGCACAAGCAATCCAGGAGGTTCCTCGATTGTGTAGAAGACAACTTACTTCTGCAAGTAATAGAGGAGCCAACAAGGAGAGGTGCCATGCTTGACCTCGTGCTCACCAACAGGGAAGGGCTCGTTGGAAATGTGACGCTCCAGGGCAGCCTTGGATGCAGCAATCACGAGATGGTCGAATTTGAGATCCTCAGGACAGTGAGAAGAGCGTGCAGCAAGGTCACTGCCCTGGACTTCAAAAGAGGAGACTTTGGCCTCTTCAGGAACCTGCTTAGTAAGGTTCCATGGGATATAGCCCTAGAGGGCAGGGTAGCCCAAGACTGTTGGTTGATATTCAAGGATCACCTTCTACAAGCTCAGGAGTGTTGCATCCCAACTAGAAGGAAGTGCAGCAGGAGGCCCAGGAGACCTCCTTGGATGGATAAGGAGCTGCTAAGAAAGATTCAAAGGAAAACAGAGGCTTAAAAAAGGTTGTTTAACATCTTTGTTGCTGACAGGGACAGTGGGATTGAGTGCACCATCAGCAAGTTTGCCGATGACAACAATCTGTGTGGTTCAGTTGATACGCTGGAGGGAAGGAATGCCATCCAGAGGGACCTTGACAGGCTTGTGAGGTGGGCTGATGCCAACATCATGAAGTTTAACCATGCCCAGTGCAAGGTCCTACACCTGGGTGGGAGCAATTGCAGGCACAGATACAGGCTGGGCAGAGAAGGGATTCAGAGCAGGCTGCAGACAAGGACTTGGGGATGTTGGTTGATGAGAAACTGAACATGAGCCAGCAGTGTGCGCTTGCAGCCCAGAAAGCCAACTGTATCCTGGGCTGCATCAAAAGGAGCATGACCAGCAGATCGAAGGAGGTGATCCTGCCCCTCTACTCTGCTCTCGTGAGACCTCACCTGGAGTATTGTGTGCAGTTCTGGTGCCCTCAACATAAAAAGGACATGGAACTGTCGGAAGAAGTTGAGAGGAGGGCCACGAGGATGATCAGGGGACTGGAGCACCTCCCGTATAAAGACAGGCTGAGGAAGTTGGGGCTGTTCAGCCTGGAGAAGAGAAGGCTGTGTGGAGACCTCATAGCAGCCTTCCGGTATCTGAAGGGGGCCTATAGTGATGCTGGGGAGGAACTCTTTGTTAGAGACTGTAGTGGTAGGACAAGGGGTAACTGGTTAAAACTTAAACAGGGGAAGTTTAGATTGGATATAAGGAGGAAATTCTTTCCTGTGAGGGTGGTGAGGCACTGGAATAGGTTGCCCAAGGAGGTTGTGAATGCTCCATCCCTGGCAGTGTTCAAGACCGGGTTGGACGAGGCCTTGGGTGATGTGATTTAGCGTAAGGTGTCCCTGCCCACGGCAGGGGGGTTGGAACTAGATGATCTTAAGGTCCTTTCCAACCCTAATTATTCTATGATTCTATATATTTAGATATAAATTTGGAATTAGAGTAAATTTTCTCAAAACTTGCTATATGCATAGAAACCCCAGCTAAAATCGTTTGCCATTTTTTGCAAAGTGTATGTTAATAAATGACTGTGCATACTGAAATTCAGCAGACCAGGCATATTTCCATTTCTTCCCAGTTTTGAAAGATTTATATAACTGAATCCTGGTCTGTGGTTGTTACACCTCACTAAAAATGCAAGCTTTCTGAAAAGTGTAATTTGGTGTTCTACCTGTTTAAAAGTTCTCCTTTCTAAAAATGTCAGTGATGTGCACTTTGAAATATGATATCTTCAACTGTATTTGTGCTGCTGCAAATTTGGTGAGACACATCTGTTTCTTCATATTGACAGAACACTAAATAACTGATTTCTATTCAGAAGTGCCCTGGCTGGTTTACTTCAGTGCAAGGGATCATTTTAGTCTAATTACTTGTATTCTTGCTTTTCTTTGACAATATTTTTATGCTAGTTATTCTTAGCTGGTCACCCACTTTTACATTACTTTGGAGAAATACTGGTCTTGTCATAAAATTCAGTTGTGTTCTTCAAATCTCTGTAGCGGGTGGCTTTCCTTCATCTAAGAAAAATTAATCTTAATGATCTTTTCAAGTCTTGATTTCATAATTACTATCAAGATTTTTTGTCATTTTTGCCCTTACTTTTATATTGCACTTATTTAACTTGCTTACTAAATCACTCCTACACTAATGTCAGAGAGGTTTGCATTTTGTCCTTTGGGCCATGCTTTGAATGAAGACTGAGGCAGTCACTGACTCTTGTCCTCCAGACTCATTTGACACATCAGGCAGAATGAACAATGTTGTTGGGCTCTCACAAACTGCACATGGCTGGTAGTTATTAACTTGAACGGCCCGGACTTTAAAGTGTGCTCTTTAGCCATGGTTCCTAAAAGTCTATTCAGAGATCGGTAGAATTTTATTATAGTTAAATAGAAATATTTGCAAGTGAGCTGGGTGTAGCAGCCAGCATTATTGACACAGTGATAGCCATATTACAAATGACAGCAATTGCTCTTCACTGTTCAATGCTGGAAAATGGATATCATATTTCGCATGAAATGGACTGGGAGAAAGGAAAAGATGTGATGGTTAAAAGTAACACTTCTAAGGATTAAGTGCTCCTTTGAGGATGGTCACTTGTCAGAAAAACAGCAATAGAATGGGTATTGCATTGTGGAGTTTTTCTTGGTTGGTTGTTTTCTGTTTCATTGTTGACTTTGGGACTTTTTTAATGGCACAAGGAAGAGTTTTTATTAGTGATATGGGCTTGATTCTGCCTTACATGCTGCACCCTGGGAAATGCATTTGGATGAAGCTAATTGGCATAAAGATGAAAAAAATTAAATCTTGTATGAGTGTTTTTTTGTTCTTTTTTTTTTTCTCCTTCTGGCTCACTTAGCTAAGTGCTTTTATTTTCCCCAGAAATGATGCAAATAATACATTTCCATTCCACTTACATCACTTGGAAGTTATCGTCACTGATTTATATTAGAGGAAAACACTGGTCTATACTGAAAACTGCATCTTTTCGGAACAATTGATGTTTTTTGGTTTTTTTTAAATATAACAAACAATACAGCTGAATTTTGGCAAGAAAACTCCTAAAATGGAGACTTGTCAATACATTTCTCCCTTAAACTTAAAACCCCCACCAATGTATTGTTAAAACCTTACATTAAATGCAAGAGAGGTATAACCGGAAAAGCATGTTCTTACACCAACCTGTGATTCTGAGTAATTTTTCTAGGCAAGTTAAAGCCTCGTGAAAATATTTTCCCATTTAAAGTGGTGACATAATCTTAACTATAGCAATGTGATCAGCGTTAGTGCTAATACAAAAAAGAACCAAATCAACATCGATCTCAACAAAGCAGAAAAATAAATGAAAAGCATATATCTGTACTTGCACTTCTTGAATGAGTATCTAAGTCACTGGATGCTGCCAAAGTATGCTATTTTTCTTGAGATTTACTCTGTATAAAAGAAACTGAAGTTGTTTTCTTGTTTTTAGCAATTTTACTGAATTTCTACTCAGGGCATAGCACATTAGCCTGTCAAGAAAAATCATCACCTAGCAGCTCCAGATAAGTTTCGAACATTCCTTTACAGGGTTCTACTAATGGATATATGCCACCAAGACAGACTGTGCTGATGTAATCATGTGTGTCTGTGTGTATCTGCATGTGCACTGCACAATTATCTTGCTGAATGTATATGTATATAATTTTATGAGTATGATATGAATTTACATATAAAGTGGGCTTCTCTCTCACTTCCCTTTGCCCCCTAAAATATGTGTTACATTTTTAAATTAACACATAGAAGTCTGTGTCTCTTTAAAATTTGGTTTCTGTTCTCGGGATACTTTTTTCTGCAAGCTATTTTATTTTTTTATATAAAGACCAACAAAAGGCTTTGTGGGATGAGTATTTTAGAGTTACTTTTTCTAAGTAAGTTGTTGATTTTGTTTTCTTATATTCTTAGCTTTTTCGGTTTTGAGATGAAAGAATTCTCCCTTGCATTCTGACATAAGACTGTATTCTCTTTCAGGAAGATAACTAGATCTCGGGCAAGAATCATGCAGTTGCAAACACAGCAACATCTAACAGCACAGTATTTTGAACCACACAGAATTATACCTTACTGCAGGTAATCACAGTGGTAGGTGATTACCTTACTGCAGGTAATCACAGGCAGGATTAAAGTGGAGTCTACTGGTTTCTTGGAAAGTTTGGTGTGTAATGCATGTGTGTGCATGTACTACCTGTAATCACCAGTGGTTCCTCATCTTTTAGTGTTTCTTCCTGTGCTCTGATGACTGGCTACTTGTTCTTTTGTTGATAGTTGTGGAGAATATGGCAAAGTACGTTGTACTGAGTAGGTATTTACTAAACATTCCTGTGCAGTGAGACAAGAAAGGAAATTAGGAAAAGAAGAAAAGAAGAGATGAGAAGAGTAACTCAACTGTGGGGTATTACCTAAAGATAGATATGCTAGTTAGAATGTGAAAGAATGAACACTGCAGTGAAAATCAGTGTCATAAAATGTTTATACTTGAAGCTTGTGAGCCTGCCTCACATGAATTAAAGTCTGCTGTAACCCCGAAGGCTCGGGCTGAGCTGAGTGTTCAGGTTGCTAATAAATTCTCATGTCTTCTTTCTGATGTCAGGCTTTTGAAGCTTTAGTAAATATTAGTAGAAACAAAATTTCTATCAAACTAATGATGAAAACATCATTGCCCTCATGACAATAAGCTTTCCAGAGGGATTTCATAGAAGAAAATTGGATGGATTAAACAATAATTTGAAATATCTGAGAAAAGCTAATAAAACTTGTGATTTCTGTGTGCTGACATTTGTCTACATGCTGAGAGTATTAGAGGTGTTTAATGCTTTCAGATGGAAGAGAAAGAAAGCAAAGGAATCTTTGTATTCATTATAATATTTATTGGAGCAAAACATGAAGATTCATTGATTCGTTGATTCATTGTACATGTATGCATATCTATTTTCTCTTTGTATAATTGGGGGCTGCATATGAAAGGGTTCACATTTCCACAACTGAAGATTAATCTCAAAGATTTAAACAGAAAGGTTTTCTAGGCTGATAACAACTTCAGATGACCTTTATATAGCTATATTCAATACAAAAATGTTAAGATGAATTCCAGAGCAATCTTTGAGAAAGATCTACTGCCTTATAAGTGACATATCTGAAGTCAAAATCTCTCCAAAATGGCAACTATACTATACATATATAATTACTTTGGTCTTAATAGGAGATATCATTCCAGAATGCATATTCCCAAAATGGGAAGTTTGAGTGTCCTTAAGATGCATATTCTTTGTGTTGGAAATGGCTTTTCAGAGGCCTTTCCTTTTACATCTGCAACAGTAGTCACTCAATGAAAAATACTAAATACTAAAATGCTAAATTGTGTAATTATTATGTGCGTTGGGGGGGGGGTGTTAAGCAAAAAGCAGAGCTTTGAATAAAATTTGTAAAGTAAAAGGCCTTTTTTTTAGCTGCACACTAAACTAAATTTGCAGTGCAGGACAATTTAGGTCACTTCAACAGGTGGAAGGATGCTGCTGGAGCCAAAACCAAAATAATTTCATCAGACTACACATACTGTTGATAGATTATGATTAACAGCATTTTTTCTGATAAACAAAAAAAATGTTTAGATAGATTTTTGAAAAACATTTTAGTGAAGATTAAAGCACCTCATTATATTAGGATAGTTACAGAATCCAGCTGTTAGTAAATCAAGAGTTCATTCTACTAATTTTCAGTGCAACAGTTGGTATTTCTTTTGGCTTTATTTTCAGTTACAGAATGTTCATTATTGCATACAGATGTTCAGCCCTCACAACTTTCTTCTTCTGAGATAATAAACCTATTCATTTATTTCACTTCAGCTAAGAAGCTACTATTTAGTGACAGGTTTTGTTACAACATTTGTTGTGAATATTGCACTACAGAGCCTGTATGGATTTTGCTGGTTTCCTACTGCATGGTGTTGATCATACCAACTCTTGTCTTCTGTAGTCTTATCAGATTTTACTCTATGAGAATATGAAGACAATGTTTGACTCTGCTACTCCTCAGATTATCAATCTTTTTATTCTGTAACATATTCTGTATTACTAAACTCCACAGCAGTACTGTAAAGTCATATCTGCTAAATTACTGTGTTATGAAAATTGTAGTTAGCAGACATTGACATTAGAGGCATCAGCTACTGTAGCTATTTTCAGGTGCTGTGCTGTTTCTCAGACATCAGTTAAGCCTGGCTGAAGGAGGATTTGAAGTGACAGATACAATGTGCTTCTGTTATGAGCTTTGTATTGAGTGACAGATACGATATGCTTTTGTTATAAGCTCTATATTGATAAAGTGTCCTGTAATAGGATGGATCATGTAAGAGTCATCAACTTCTGTTGATGTCACTGCTGTTATAATTTTATGGATTTTAAGCGTTAAAACTGTGCTCTCCTACTGTTTAAGAAAAAGCAAGTACAAATACAGGCTCTTCAGATATTTGTTCAATTAATATATTGGACAATTTGCAGGTATTGTGAGCATGGGTTACATCCTTCACTGGAAATGAGCCTATAGCTCTTGAACTTACTTATATTCTGTGAGATATTGTACAGATCAGATCACAACCAAAATAGCTTACGCCTGTCCTAGTTTCACCTATGCACACACATGCAGCTTGAACTTGTGAAGTAGCTTTGTCAGGTTCACTGGACCAAATGCTCACTTCCGAACCATCCATCTAAACTCCTTTATAATCAGTGGAAAAAAATATTCAAAGTGCATAACTGATCTTACTCTAAAAAAATGCTTGAAATAGGTTACAGGGTTCATAAAGTATGAATTAAAAGTATGATTTTCATTTTATTGACTGATAAAAACTAAAGCAGCTCTCTCAGATGCTGGTGCATTACACAGTAGATCTGAAATACTGAGATGGATCCCATCTGAAGTATCAGACAATCAGCTATCTTATGTTCTGTTTTAAGAACAGTACGGCTGATCTTGTGAATGAACTATTTCACAATACTGAGCAACACTCACTCTACAAGTCTTCTCTATTTGAACATTAAAAATATTTTTTAAATAGGAGAATATAATTTGTCCCTCGTCATGTGATAAAATGATGCTATTCTAGAACAGCCTAGATTCAATGAGAATTCTCTCTACTTACTGAAATGCTTGAGTATGACTCCACAATTCCAATTTTTATAAAGTATTATGAATACTGGAAATTAGTCACTTTTTAAAAAATGAGAGCTGTTACATAAAGGATAACATATATTTGGGTACTTGCTAACATGTGCAATGAAATTACCAGGGTGCAAAAAGTAAAAAAGAAAGCTAAATAATTAATAAAATTAAGCTAAATTAATAAAAAAAACCCAAATATTTAAGTTTTTGTACAATGTTAATTATGTTCTGGCATTCATTGCTACAAGCTATGACTAACACAAAGATTGTAGTAATGAATATTCTCAGTAATTACATTACTGAGAGCATACCCTTAGATAAGATAAGTCCTCTCAGGAAGAGGAGATAAAACTCTTCATGTTTCCAAGCATAAGACAACTGGGAAGAAATTTCCCGAGTGGTTGGATTACTTTTCCCATCAGGTTTACCTGCTACTTAACTAACATGATGATAAAGACTGCTTCTACTTTTCTGACAGCTAAAGTTTGATTAATGTCATAATAGGTAACCTTTTCATAACTTTTTTCATAATTTTAGTTATGATTTTATTTTGTCTTCTTGTTTACCAAGCACAAGGAAGTGCTTTGTCTTTCTTAGAAGCCTTTGCAAGTATTTGGTGTTGAAAAAAAATCTTCACCAGATAGACCATCAATTCTCTCATGGAGGTTACTACATTTTCAGCGAACTAAACCAAACTGGGCAGTAAGCTTTGTAAAAGGAACATACATTGGAACAAAACCTCTTTAGGGTTCATTACTGATTGAAGCTTCTCTGTGATCTTTATGTGAATGAATTAGCTTGAATTTAAATATACTGTACTTCAGCTCTTTCAGAAAATCCAAGCAGTTCTTAGCTGCTTGAAGGCAGGGAGCTTATGTTTCTTGCAAACTCTATTATGAAGTTCATGTTTGGGTTTGCATTTGTCTTTTTTTTTTCTTCTGAAAACTAGCAATTATTGTTCAACCAGAAGTTTGATTCGTGTCATGTCATTATTTTTAACAACTATATAACAAAAATGAAAGAAGACATGTCTGTGCATGCCAACAACATCTTTCAACAATATCAGAATTTATCAGTCATATTCAGTAACTAGCTCAGTATGTCGTAGCCAGGCACCCAGGTTTTGCCATATTGAAAACACCCCATGCTATTGTTTCCCAACTTTTGGCTTTTTATATGTCACATGCAGCTAATGACATGAAGTTCTTGATCCTTCTGTGAGTCTTCATGTTCTTCCTTTGGAAAGAAAGCAGTGTACCAGACAGCAGGCATCATGTAGTTCAATGTTCAATTATACTTGTTGATAATCAAAAATTGAGCATTATAGTAAGCTGAAAACATGTTAGAGTGTAATTTTAATTTCAAATTAATACAGATATATGCAAAGTGAAGATTACCATTTCTAAACCTGAATTAGCTTCTAAGCTTGACACATACTTTACAAAGTATGCCATACAATTATCCATTATCAACAAAGAGACACACTCACATGCACTTTCAATAGAAAATATTATAGTAAGGGGATGATTACAACTTTTCTGGCAATTAATTCTGGTAATTGGCTGTAGATATTGCAACCTTATGAGTTCTTTTGTTTAAAGGTTAACACTTAAAATGAGGCATTCTGTGTATGTTTAACAAAACGACAGACTTGATGATTTCATATCTGCTAAATCATAGAATCATAGAATCATAGAATAGTTAGGGTTGGAAAGGACCTTAAGATGATCAAGTTCCAACCCCCCTCCTGTGGGCAAGAACAACTCCCAGTAAACCATGCCACCCAAGGCTCTGTCCAACCTGGCCTTGAACACCATCAGGGATGGAGCATTCACAACTTCCCTGGGCAACCCATTCCAGTGATTCACCACCCTTACAGTAAAGAACTTCTTCCTTATATCCAATCTAAACTCCCCCTGTTTAAGTTTTAACCCATTAACCCTTGCCCTATCACTATGGTACCTAATGAAGAGTCCCTCCTCACCATCCTTGTAGGCATCCTTCAGATACTGGAAGGCTGCTATGAGATCTCCACGCAGCCTCCTCTTCTCCAGGCTGAACAGCCCCAAATTTCTTAGCCTATCTTCATACAGGAGGTGCTCCAGTCCCCTGATCATTCTCATGCCCCTCCTCTGGACCTGTTCCAACAGTTTCATGTCCTTTTTATGTGTCATTGGCAAA